TTGCTAAGCCGATAGTAGAGGTAGGAAAACAAATCATCTTTTTTCAAAGGGCATTAATTAATCACAAACAGCAACCACTATTTCCTACACCCTGCTTTATGCCAAGCTCTATACTTACTGTTTCATATGAGCTAATCATTTCATATCCGTCTGTTGTAGTAAGTACAATCTTATCAGGCTGTTTCAGAGAAGCAAACTGAGACTTGGAGATACTGAATTATAATTCTATATGTCAAAGACATGGTCTTCTACTCAGCTCTATCAGGAGGGGTCTCGGGGCATGTCTTCAAGTTACCAAAGGCATGCCCCCTTGGGGGACAGTGGGAGCACATCCTTTTTTCTTGTTCTTTTTAATTCCTCCCATCATAACGTACTGTCTTGTCACAAGCCTAAAAGTAACATAGTCAATTGATCACAGGATGGGAACTCCAAAACTATGACCAAGAAACCTTTTATTTTCTTTTTTTTTTTTTTTTTGAGACAGAATCTCCCTATAGCCCCAGCTGACCTGGAACCTGGAACTCACTAAGTAGACCAGGCTGGCCTTGAACTCACAGAGATCAGCCTGCCTCTGCCTCCCTAGTGCTGGGACTAAAGGCGTGCGCCACCACGCCCCGCCTAACCTTTTTTCTTTATAAGTTGATTTTCCCAGATTTTTTGTGTTAAGAGTAATGAAAACCTGACCACCATAAACTTGTCTAGGTTCAGGAGACCAGTGATAAGCAGAGTTGAAATAGAAACCCTAAACAATTAGTTTTATGGTCCACACACTTCAGCACTAGGGCATGTAGCTTTAAGGTTTTCTGTTGGGTGCCGAGGGCAGTGGACATTGATTGCACAAGGAAAAGTTGTGAGAATACCCCTCCGGAACACAGGTGAATACCAGCAGGCTTGTTAGCAATGTCAACCTGTCTTTCTCCTCACAGGGAAGCTTTTGACCTAGAGGAGGCTATGTTTTATTCAGAATAGGAGCGGAAAGGGCAGAAAGAGTTCCTATGAATTCTACTGGAGCCATGATATCATCCCTGGCCTTATCATAGGCAGCAGCATACCTCCCTGGAAACCACGAGGCAGAGAAGCACACCCCACCTACACCTCATCTGAGGGAGCATAGCCATCCCCCTTCCAGAATGCTTCTGTGTGTCTAATCAACTGCTGACATGGCAACATTCCCTTCTACAGATGTGCCTGCCACCTTGACATGCCACAGCTGGCTTTGGAGGGGAGAAAAGTTCAGACCACACATGCTAACTCTAAGACAGTCAAACATGCCGACAACATGCCCAGAGCAACCATGAATTTGCATTTGCAAATTACAGCTCCATAGAGTCACTGATCTGGAGCTCACTGAAACAACAGGCAGCTCCATAAGGAAATGAAAACTCAACCCAAGGCAAGGGGCAAAGGCATCACTTAGCAGGGGTGCTCAATCAGCAGCTCAGGTGCTAAAGGCACTTGAGGAACAGAAGCAATTAAGAGAACCTGGGGATAGAAACCAGGAAGAAACTGAGAGGCAGGATGAAGCCTGCTGGCAACATCCAGTCATCAAATCTGTTGCCATAATTATCACAACCCAAACCTCCATGAACCATCCCAAGGCCCTCCACACCAGCTCCTCCATTCAACCTATTACCACCTTCTATCTGTGCGACATCTCCTTCCAAACTGACCCCACTGCACCCTCTACATTTAATCAGGGCATTCCTACAAAGTCTAATAGACTTGTGTCACAAGCTGAGGTTCATTGTGGGGATAAGGGATAGGGGCTCATAAAATGCACATCTCTCCAGACAATAGAAAGCAATTTTGAATCTATTAGATCAAACATTAATTTCAAAACAATTTCATTCTTGCAGTGAGCTATTTTTTAATGTGCCTCCAAGCTTTCTCTGGGACAAACTTTTGACATTAAGTTGTATGGACTCGTGGAAAATTTTTACAGGACTGGCCAATGTAGATGTGATGTAAGCTTGTCTAGATGGTGAAAAGGATTCAAAGGAAAGATACAAAGACATTAAAAAAAAAAAAAAAAAAAAAAGATTTCTAATATGAGTTCAATCATGTTCTCAGCCACTGGTTTCAAATGTCCTGGAGAGTGGGCCTGACCAGTACCGAGTTATGATTCACAGGTAAATTATTTAGCATGACTCGATGCTTCCATTTGTAAAATGAAAAGGACAATAATCAAAAAGCTCTGAAGAACTGCACATCCAGGTAGAGTTGGCTCAATACAGTGCCAGGCCACAGCACAGGACTGATCAACAGTAGCTACTACGTATGGCTCCAGTTTGTTAAAGCATCACTCAGCTTCTGCCAAGTCCAAACTTACCATTCTTTTCATAACATTCACTATCCTTAACAATACTTTAACTAATTCTCTATGCAAAACTAGTTTAAGACCATTTGGAAAAGCTGGAGAGATGGCTCAGCGGTTAAGAACCCTGACTGTTCTTGCAGAGGACCCGGATTCAAATCCCAGCACCCACATGGCAGCTAATAACTGTCCATAATTCCAGTTCCAGGGGATCTGATAGCCCCTTCTGTCTTCCATGGGCATTGCACGATACGGGTGCACTCACCTACATGCAGGCAATACATGCATACACATAAAATAAAAATAATAAATAAAATTAAAAAAAAAAAGACATTTGGAAATTAGAAGCACCCAGAACAACAGAAGTTAGGTCAAAATCACTGCAGCTGTCACCTGTAAAGGGTAAGGGCTGAAAAGGATTCAAAAGACCCTGGTGTAAGTTCAGCAGACAGTACACAGGCTAATAATTAAAGAGTGCTTTGCTTTGCTGAGTCTAAGGTTCTGAAATACCCTGGAGAGAAACAAACAAGAAAAACCAGTGTGGCAGGCCATGGTCAACTGGTTCCCAAGAAGGGCTCACAAATGCTTACAAGCACTCATGCCATAGTCCCTCATCTAGGAAGTAAATACTGTATATTCAGCAATCACTCAAATTATGAAAAGGAATTCAGGGAGGGAAGAAAACAGGTCTGACCTAGAGTAGAAAAACCTGTTCCAAGCCCCAGTCCCTGAAAGCAAGCAGGAGAAGTATGGGGCCGCAGACTGGAGCACATGCTTCCCTTCTCCTACCCTAGTTCAACAGATTCTCCTGAGAGCCACCTGACTTGCCCCACCAAATAGCTACCAGCAGCTACACTCCTCTTCCCAAAGAATACCTGACTCTTATTCATTCCCCAACATGAGACATCTCAAAGAAGGAAATGCTGCTGCAAACAGAACCTTTTGCTGGTCTGTCATTCTACCCAGGGAATGTCAGCCAAATTTACATAACAAACAGCCAGGCACTGGGACACACCTGTCACCCCAGCACTCTAGGCAGTAGCTAGACATGCAGTCCAGAGGGCACACCTAGAATCCCAGTACTCCCAAGGCAGAAGCCAGGCACAGTGGGCAGTTTTGCTCATGTGTTATTATTCTACAAGGACCTTCAAGGCAAAGATGCTTACTTACTTTCAAATTTTGGAGTAAAATGTAATACATGTGAAAGGGTAATTATGTACAGCACATAGACAAGAAAATCCTGCTTTAATTCTAGTTCCCTTAACAGCTCTAAGAAGTTTCTACCATTATTTTTATTCTAAATGAATTAAGTCACTTTCAGACTATAACAAAAGGATTTCTATTAATAGTGTCAGAACTTAGAAATAATACCCCAAAGTATGAATTCCAGAATCCAAAGGGCCTCTTCCCCAAAGCTAGGCAGGAGTACCTCCCTCTGAGATTTCCGTACTGGCTGAAGAACTCTCTTCCAAGAGAAATGCAACTATCCAGTACCTCCTTCCTGATGCTCACTAGCCACAGAAAGCTATAGGCATGTCACTAGAATGACACACCAAAACAGACTTTGTCACCAGGTATTATTGTCTGTTCTTCAGGCCCATTCCACTTCCAGAAAGAATCACAAATTATAGTCTATTCTCTGGGTCCTAAAAAACATTCCTATCTCTTCAGGATGGTCTGAGTTCCTTCCCTGACCTCTATGGAATAGGTACTCCAACACCTGACATTCTTTGTCATCACACTTTGAATGTCAGCCTCCAACACCTGACACTCTGACATCACACTTTGAATGGCTTCTGTGTTTATGCATTTTTAAGACATCTACACAGCCTTTCTCTGTTGTTTGCTGTCAATTCACCTCAACAGAGTACAAGGGGCTGTAGAGCTCTAAGAGTCACCTCTACCTTTATACTGACTTCTGAAAACTGGTGTGCTTTACACTTCATATTTTTCTAAAGAAAAACATTGTAGAAACAAATTTAATTAGTTCATCCCGAGCAGTGGAGCAGTGTCCTATAATCTAACAGACCAACTCATAATGTTGGATCTAATTTAAAATAGGACAAAGCTTCAAACATTTGGCCTGCTCCTTCTATATTGATTGCATCTCAGAGATCATGAGAGCAAGTTTCAAAAGTAGCAGCCTGCTGGGAGCCCAGGGTGGATGCAGATGATTGCCACCAGTGCTCAGAGCATTGTAGACACACAATAGAACATGACTCAGTCAGAAGCATATTCATATATACAGTGTTATGCCAAGAAACAGATACTGAATCAAACCAAGATCAGAGTTCTGCTGAAAACATGCCAAACCTTCATTAACACAGGTGGTTACCGGTTACTACATTTCTTCCTTAATGAAGATGCTACTGTGATAAGACTGAGCAATACTTCTTGAAAATTGAGCACAGCATTTCACAAGTTCTCTTTATGAACACAGGAAAGTCAATTGGTTGAATGAGCATGTTTATGAATGTGTTCACTATGATACCGCAGCAAAAGTAACACCACCACGGGTCAGGAATCCCTGGGTCCAGAAACACTCACTGTCTTTTCTAGCAATACTAAATGTCCTTCCAGGGGCTGCCAAGATGGCTCAGTGGGGAAAGCGTTTGCTGTATAAGCATGAGGACCAAGTTCGGATTTTCAGGACCCCTGCAAATGCTGGGTGGGTGTGGCAGCCTACCTGCAATCTCCGTGCTTAAGGTGGGGAAGGGTCCCCTGGAGCAAGCTGGCAAATTAGACTAGCCATCAGTAAGCCCTGGGTTCAAATGAGAGACCCTGCATCAAAAAAAGAAGATGGAGAATAATTAAGGAAAACTCCTGAAGTCAACCTTGGGCCTTCACACTTACGTGCACACACATGTACATGCACCCACACAAGTGAACACAAATGCACACCACACACATTCCAAATTAAAAAAAAGAAAATCCCTTCACTTGAAAAAATACAGCACAGCTGAGTCAAAAAGCATAGATCCCAGTTTCTGATAAGACAGCTTTACTTAAAGTTAGTAGAAAAGGTGGATCTGGCTTAGCACTTTGGAAGAGACAGATCAGTAAGAGGAGCCAGCCTTAAACTGTGCTGGCAAAAAATGCTGTGAGCCAGCTGTATTCACAGCGGTCCAGGAAATCTGTGGGTCCTTGAGAACGTTTCAAGATGTCCAGGACATCCAAACTGTTTTTATGGAAAGGCTAGGGACACAGCTCAACAGGAAGCATGTGCTTAGCATGCAACAAGCCAGTTCAAGTCCCAGAACTGCTCCAAAAGAACTGACATATAGATGATAAATGATTGATAGATAGATGACAGAGGATCGATAGATGACAGAGGATTGATAGATAACTGATGATTTGTTGGTTGGTTAGTTGGTAGACAAGACAATGCTGAGAGGTTATTTGTAACATTTAGTTCACTAACAGTTGCACTAGTATGTAAAATCACTAGAACCTTAGCACAAGTCATGGCTGTAATACTGAATGTTTCATCGTTACAATAAACTCCCAGTGAAGAATCTCAGTTTCATGTTACAATGTCCCTGATGAAACAGGGAACATTAACAGCTGAATCAAATCTCAGTCCTTGAGTATGTGTCTCTATAATTTACTGTGACAAAATGGGAAATCTTCATAAGGGTTGTCTGCTGCACTCTAGTTCTGTTTTGTTTCAGTTTGGATTTTGGTTTTGTTTTGAGGCTCAATATATAGACCAGGCTACCCCTGAGATCCACCTGCCTCTACCTCCAAGTGTGTGCTGCACTCAGAGCGATGAAGGCTAGCTCAAAGATTCTATCAACTACTTGATTGGCTAGCTGAACTGGCACCTTCCTTAAAATCATACACTATCACTTTTATGTGAAATAACAGTAGAAAGCTAGGAGTATTGAAAAAGTGGGTATTTCACAGACATTTTGTCTGTTTCTTCAACAAAACAGCTGACATTCTTAGTTGTCAATGATAAAATCGTCAATGATAAAACTAAGTATCTTTTTCTTTCCTTTTTTTTTAGACAGGATCTCTCACTAAACTGGGAGCTCACCAATTCAGCTACATGACTGGCCAGTGAGCCCCCAGGATCCTCCTGTCTCCACTGTCACCCAACCCCACCTGGGGCTACCGGGGCATGCTGCCTTGCTTGCCTGGGGATCTGAACTCAGAGATCATGATTGTACAATAGGCACTTTATCAGCTGAGTCATCTCCCAGCCCCAGGCTCAACAAATTTCAAAAATGCAGCACTTAGGTAAGTATTGGGAAAGCCGTTACATTCTTGGTAGGAGATTTTTAAAAATAAAATCTAGTGGAGTCAGGAGGAGCAGGTCCAAGGTCACCATCTACTACATAGAGAGTTTGAGGTCAGCCTGGGATACAGGAGACCTTGTCTCAAGAAAAAAAAAAAAATGGAGTGAAACTGAAGACAACTAGGGTCAAGACTTGAACTGCTGGCTTGCACACACACACAAACTCGTGCACACACACACTCAAGTATACACACACTCGTGTACTCACGTATAATCTCAATCCCTCTCTCCCTTTCTCTCTCTCTCTCTCTCTCTCTCTCTCTCTCTCTCTCTCTCTCTCTCCTCCCTTTTCCCACCACATGATTCTCTGAAGCTGAATTTTCTTCATGTATTTCAGCCAAACAATGCAACCTCATGGATGGGATGCAGAATGAGATACAAGAACACTGCAGCTTCCACCAAGCCAGGCATTGTAGGAGATGCAAAACTGAGCCAAGCCTGGTGACTCACACCTGTAATCACAGCATTCAAGAGGCTAACAGAGGAGGATTGCCATAAGTTTGAGGCCAGGGTGGGCTACATTAAGATCTTGTCTCAAAAACAAATTTGCCTGCAGTCACTGTCCCTAGTAATCGTAAGGCTGAAATTCAAGTCAGTACCTTTCAAACCTTAAAGGCTATGTTCACAATCATGACTGCATTTCCCTGAGGAGCTGTTTAATGGTTTTCAAAGTGTCAGCAGCATCACAGAACCCAGATCAAGCAGACATTCTGTGACAGAGGGCAGCAAGCCAAGTTTTCACAAGCCCTTCATGGGACTTCAAGGCAAGGTTTGAGAATCACTTGTCTACATTTTTGAATTAAGAGTGAAATGACCACCATTTTGAAAAACCCCAAATTTAATGGGTTGGTCCTATTTTAAATGTTGTAAATAAATCAAAATAATGCTAATTCATTTCCCCACTACCCACAGCCCCAAACTTCTCATTAGCTTCTCTCCCAAACCTGAAAAAAAGGCCTAATTTGTATTCTAATTGTGCTATATACAAAAAAGGCAATCCAGGGGGCCAGCGCGATGGCTCAGCGAGTAAGGGATCTTATCGCCACACCTGACAACCTGAGTTTGATTCCCAGAACTCACATGGCGGAAGGAGAAAATAACTCCCATGCACACTGTGGTATGCACAGACATGCCCACATACTAATATACATACACCAAAATAATAATAGATAAATGTAATAAATGTACGTACAACCCAGCACTAAAAGAATAACTAAATATCAAATAAATACAGCATAGTTGACCCTCTGCAACTGTAGGTTCCCCATCTAAGGATTCAACCAACTGTGATCAGAACAAGCTGTGACTGGGCTGAACACTGCCATCATTTCCTGAACAAACAATATCACAGCTACTCATGTGCCATTTTCCCTGTATCAGGAATGTGCTGGATAGCATTCAGTGGTCTACAGATGATTTAAGGCACACAGGAGATAGTGCACATGGCTTATATGCAAATATCAGGACACTGTGTACCTTGAACTTGAGCATCCATCTATAGATTTTGATAGGAGATCTTGGAGGCTGGGGGTAAAGGCATGGAAAGAGACTGTGTACTCTGTATGGACCTTCCTAGGAACTGAGCTAAATTTAAAATACACTAAAAGTCCACATTCACTGCTCAGAAAGCCATATTAGGAAAAAAACAGAATCCACCGTGGGCAGCAGAAGCTTGATAAATCCTGGGCCATAACTCCATAATCCTTTTTATCCTGAGCTTAACTCCAAATTTTTACACCATCTCAACAAATTTCCAAGTCACGGCCCTCTAAAATATTTAATTTTCAAGATTCAAACTGGTTTAAGTATGCGTACAGAAAAGCGTCTTCCCGGAGACGAAGTGACAAGCACAGCTAACCCTCTCCCAGCTGCTCCTGCCTTTGCAGCTGCCTGCTGATCCTGCTCTTTTCGGAACTGAGCCCAGGAGCCCTTGTTCCCCAGCCCAAGTTCTCAATCTGAGCAGCACAAATATAAATGCAGTCAAGTTTGCCTATTACCAATTAGATCTTTTAAAAAGAAAAGTTGGATGACCACAAGGAAACAGAGTTTTCCAGAAGATTGGGAACTTGCTCATATGAACTTACAGCAATGGTGATAGTATGCATAAGACCATGCAGACTCCAACCAGACAAAAACCCAGCATAGAAGTGGGGAAATAGGTAAGAAGCCCTAATGTTAGTAGACCACTGCTGGATGAGGGAGAGTTGGTCTTCTTTAAGGGATAGATAGGTTGAACAGGCTCCAGTAGATGAACTCATACCAAGAGACAACTGAGGACAAAAACTTAACTCCATAGGCCTTAACGTACATGAGATGCTTATGGGGCAGATAGGGAACAAGTTCTAAATATAATTAAGATGTATTGTATGACATGCACAAAAACTCAATAAAATATATATATTTTTTAAAAAAAAAAATAAAAGGAAGAGCTGCCAGGTATAGTGGTACACGCCTTTAATCCAAGTACACAGGAGGCAGAGACAGGTCACCTGATCTACATAGCAAGTTCCAGGTCATCTGGAGCTACAGCAAGACGCTGTCTCCAGAAAAAAAAAAAAAAAAGAGTATGCAAAATACATAGTCAAGTATCTACCATACTTTGGAACTGGCTATAAACCAAATACCCAAATACTTATTTTTTTGAAGCTGTCTACTTACATAGTCTGCTCACTGATTTGAGAAAATTCAGGACTCCACTTATTTCAAATACTGAAGCTGGGTGTGACCGTTACTTGGGAAGAGGAGGCAGAAGGATGTAAGCTGGAGAGGCCAGGCTGGCCTACACATGCAAAGTCCTATAAAAAAAGAAAACCTGAAAACATAAATCAGAAGATTAAAGAGAAACCCAGTCCAAGTCTGGCCCACAAGAGAGCTATAAACCTGACTGAAATGCTCACTGACCTGTTGTGGCCTTCAGAAGTGAAGAGAGTTCTGGGAAGCTGACTCTAAGGCAGCTTTTAATCTGCCTGGCCACTTACAACTGCTAACCTTCGGATACCAGAAATCATTTCTCTCTCACCTCCCTGAGAACCAAAGGTGATCCCAACAAATAACCAATGTTCTCTTCCCTAGAGTTCAGTCAAACTGAAATGTACACAGGCCAATCATGTAAGGGCTTTCTAGTTTGCATTTTTAAAAGCTAGTGTTTTCCTCAAAGTATCTCCCCAAATGCAATCCACTCAGGTCCTGGGGAGGGTGTTTAGTTGATTTGGTTTTGTTTTTTTGAGAGAAGCTTGATGTCTTCCACCAACTCCCAAGGCTTGCCTCAAATTCACTATGTAGCTCAGGCTGGCCTTGTGCTCCCAGCACCTTCCAGTCTCAGCCTTGTGAGTACTGAGATTGCAGGTGTGAGCCACCCCACACTCTTCCAGGCAGTCTTTACTGTCCATGAACACTGCCATTTATGTACCTAAAATGGGAAATGCTTATCACAAGGACAGCTGTTTTCTCATCTCCTTTCTGTAACAACCAGTAAGAAGCA